TGTGTAGTCTAAATCTCAGGGCTTCTTTCCCTGGGTTTGCTGAAGAAAATGATGCCATATGCCATACTGCACCCTCCTTTGAAAAAGGCAGTATGACTTGTGATATGTTTTATCAATGGCAATCAATCAATCAATCAATCAAACTAAACAAGAAAACTTTACATTCTCCTTCAATTACCCATTATCAATCCAATGCAGACCAGCATATGATGAAATGAGCTTTATTTAAAACAGAAAGGGTTGCAGATAAACATTTCAAAAAAGTTTCTGGAGTACTGAGGGGCAGAAAACACTAAAAATGGGCTAATGGAATGGGTTAAATGCCTTCGAGTCTGAATATCTTAAAGAAGAGACAAAATTTTGCAGGAGGGGGTGATTTAATCATTTACTTCTCCTAATATAAAAATAGAACCAATGTTCTTTCAAAACACTTTCAAGTTATAAGAGTGTGATTTGGTGGAACAGTGGTGTTGGGGAAAGAAAATGCATGGGATAAAAGCAGATAGTTCTGCATCATTGTTTGTTTGTTTTGTTTTGTTTTCTGCTTTTCTTTTTCATCATAGAATTTTTTATTGAGTGGACACTGGGTGCTCATCTAGGTACTTGGCCCATAGCAACGAAGCACAGCATTTCTGGGACTTGCCCTGCTGGCATTATGAGGTCTCTTATCAACTTCTTAAACTCATCACAACAATTTCTTATTTTTAACTATTAATGGGGAATATCAGAAATTGCATATTCAATTTTTTTACTAAGAAAAATAATTCAAGTATACTTGATGTATGACTTACCTTTGAAAAAATAAACATTTTTGGTTAATTTATATGATGTTGAAAAGACAATGATTCCTTTACTTTTGGTTTCCCCACTGATGTAATGTTAAGTAACATCTTCTATGCACTATGGCTCATATAACAAATGTGCTAAAAGGTAATTTTTCTGTTACTTTTTAATATGAAAAGGATACATACGTCCTCCTGTGCTTTGAGACACATTATATCCTCTCAAATAGAAAACTGTACTGGCCTGCATGAGGAAAGCCATCCTCCTGAGTTACAAGGATAAATGTAAGTGACTATTCACATATAGATTCTCTGGCAGCTCATGTGTGTGGCTGTATTTTGCCACAGAGCACCTGTTTATGCAGTTCCGGAGCACAAAGTTACTGTGTGTGCACTCTCCCTGACTGGCTTCACCACTGACCGCAAGAAGTTTAACATGCTTCACCTGCAAATAGGAATAATTTTTCCCTACCAGCATGGAAGCAGGAACATCATCTTTAGGGATCTCTTTGAACTTTATGATTTATCAAGAATCATATTGTTCTCTTTCATAGTGTAGTATTTTCCCCAAGGAGCTGTAAAATGGGAGCAACTTCAGTTTACTTTGACACAAGTAAACAGCTAAGACAAAAACAATGAAAACCAACAAACAAAACACAAGCCCATGAAAGACAAAAAAAAAAGAAGAAAGCAGTAAAAAAATGAGACTCACAGACCCACATCTTTATAAAATGTCTATAATTGCAACAAATTTGGAAAGATGCAATTCAGATTTGGGGAGAATGGGGATAAGAATGATTGTCATTCCTAACATAAACATGGAGGTTGTCGATCTTTGGATCCTGAGAGATCAGTTACCAGACTCTTCTTTTCCATTTTGCAGATAAAGACAACGGGTATACAGGGGCTAGGTGTTTTTCAACCAATGTCCTGTGGCCTGTTTGCTCTTGACATGGGTTACACACCCACATCTCTCCATTTCACTTTCAGCAATGGGTGCTAGTTCTTGGATTCCTCTTGCCTCATCTGCACACTGACTGGCACATTTGTGGGGAACAGAAAACCAGAGGGGTAATACCTCCAAGAGTTTCAATGATGAGACAATTACATGCTTGCAGCATACATTTCAGATTCTATGTGTTATGAAGTTTCTCTTACTCTGCTAAAAAAAAAACAAAAACTGTGACATGTGATCAGTAGTATGGCATGGTTGCAAATGTCCCTAACTATCATGGTGATAAAAGTCTGAAAATAAAAATATTAACTCTGGGAATCCAGCATGCATTGACTCATATATGAACACTTCAACTTGTCACATTTCAATGACAGTGGCAGTGTGCAGAGTTACATCCTGTTCTATAAAATTCAACCTGTTTCTGGTACTCAGGAAGCACTCACGAGCACACATCAACACCAGTGATTACAATGTTGAATGATGCTCTGTTTTGACTGAAAGATCTTTAATGGATACAGGTATCCAGACAGGCATATCCAAATGAATATTTAAATACTGCTACCTTCAGAATAGCATGGAGGACATTAGGAGAAGGAAGGGAAAAATGGGGGGGGAGGGAATTGGAGGGAGAGATGAACCATGAGAGAATATGGACTCTGAGGAACAAACAGGGTTTTTGAGGGGAGGGGGGAGGAGGGATTGTTAGCCCCTTGATGGGTATTAAGGAGGGCACATACTGCATGGAGCACTGGGTCTTATATGAAAACAATGGATCATGGAACACTACATCAAAAACTAATGATGTATTGTACGGTGCACCACATGAAAAACTAATGATGTATTGTATGGTGACTAACATAACATAAAAAAAACAAAGAACTGTAAAAAAAAAGAAAAACAGAATACAGAGTAGGATCCAGAAAAGCACCCCCCCCAAAAAATACTGCTACCTTCAATCTATCCCTGGGAAGAAGTACACACCAATCAGATCTTTTTCTGCCTAGCAAATATAAATATCTAGTTTCTCTGAATTTCTGAATGATAGGGAATATAATTCTTCATTTTGGCTGCTAGAGCTAAGTAAAGGGTTTTTGTTTTTGTTTTGTTTTGTTTTGTTTTGTTTTTGGTTTTGGACCACTGAATGGTACAAAATGGAAATACTGGGACTTCAGCATTTTTGGCCACCTGGCATGTTTAAATGGGTGTATTGCTGAACACTAAACAACAGAATTCAAACCAACAGACTAAAATGACCTCCAGCAGCATGTTTTTTTTCTTCTTCAAGTACATTAAGACAAATTCAATAAAGCAGAGTAACATCTGAGATGGAACTTATTGGAGGGAAACATAACAGAAGCAGGTGCTCTCACCGCAGCTGACCTTGGCTCCAGCTCGAGCAGGGTATGTCCTCCAGACCCATCGACATGCTCCTACAACTCCCTGCACTTGTGATCAATTTAACTGAAACGTCTGGAGATAAAAACCTGCCATAAAACACAGCCATGACATTTCCCTTCTGACTTGCACAAAGTTTATCACATATTCAGGCCATATGATAATTTCATAACGACATGAAATTTGCATGAAAGGATAAAAAATATTATTCCATCTTATATACACCTTTCTGCCAGAAAGATTCACAAATACTGCCTGAAGATAAATTAAACTTTGGCATGGAATATAATTTATGAAAATTGCAAACTACTTGAATTGATTTCACCAAAAAAGACATTAAATCTTGACGACTAGCAAACTTCTTCAGAGAAATGAAATGTGATGTTTAAATAGAATTAAAACAGCAATATAAATTTTCAAAAATATTTTAAGAGTAAATCATATCACTCATGTAGGTTATTAATTAAGTAAGTGCCTTATAATCATAAAAATGCTTTAATCACTTATAGTTTCTGCTAGATAGGTAAAACATGACAGATGAAGAAAGAAATATGATTCCTCTTGAGAAGACAAAACATGACATATTCTGTTACTTTATTTCTTCTTTTAGCTGGTATGCTATTAGTGACTGCTTTTGTCAGAGTTAAAAGTTGCACAAAACCCATTTAAAGAAAACTTGTAAGAAACCCCCATTTATTACTTATGGCATTTCATTACTAGTAGTAAACCTCTGTAGTGTGAGAGTTGGCTAAATAAATAAATAAGGACAGAAAATTGAATCTGGTTGACTGGAAAATTTTGGACCTTACTTATATCACTGTTCTAAACATCTGAACTTCAAGTTTTATATAAGAACAGCTTCTTAGCTTTGATAATATTACAATGGCCCTAATATTTACAACTATAATTTGTACTTTAAGGATTTACAAGCCCTGCTCAACCTACTTTCAAAAAATCCTTTCTAATTTCTAGCTATGAGGCTGACCTTTCCTACCTTAGACTCATGTGGCTAAATTCTCTTCCTCTCTATTGCTGTTTCTGTCTCTCTTTCCTCCACACATACACAGGCACACACAGCTCTTTGAAAGGTAGTGTCATTGAACAATTTATCTTTCAATTCCCATCATCCAACAAGGCTCCTGACTTGTTCTCAGTGCTTAGTGACTATTTATGGAATGAATGAATGGACTCAGTAAGGGACATTTGAAACTTTCTGGTCCACACTATAAGCGGTGGCAGTCAGTTCAGAAGAACAACTTGTCTAGAGGCTGATTCTGAGTCTCAGGAGGAACTTCCCAAAGAAGGGATGTCAGCTCGGGGGCCAGGCCTGCTTTTTTGTGCAAATGTAAGGAAGCTGCCTGAATGATGTGATTTCAGGGAGCATCAGAGAAGCTTGTGGAAAACAGTAGTTTCTTCTCCCACCATATGACTGGTGACACATCCCTTTGAAATTCTGTAATGTATTTTATTGTACAGTTATCAATAATTATCAGGAATCAGATATCACTAGGAAGGGTGTGATGCGTGGCTCACTGACTTAGAGGCAACACCTACTAAGGTGTAAATAGCTGATATATTCTTTTTCTACAGGTAGATTTTGACTGTAAGAATGAAAAATAATAGGAGTCTTTGGACATCTGAAGACAATATGTACAAGGAGAAAAGAGACAAAGAGTCTGAGACCACCTCAGAATTTCTAAGAGGTGGCATAATCTCTTAGTGCTATGGCTAATGAAGCTAGAATGAAAGAATTTGTAAAATGAAATCTATAGTTATAAATGCTTTATGACATATTTTAACCAACCCTCAGGTCTGAAACAAAATCATAATTTTCCCTGAGCCTGGTGACACAGAAGTCTTGTAGGGTGTTAGTACAGAGGGGACTCAAAATGTCCCTTACCTACAAACAACTGGCTGTTCAGCTGCAATCGGAAATGGCCTTCCTCCGAAGTCTCCCTGGTCATCCTTGGGAGGCTGTCCACCTGGAGTGAAGTCTCCTTGAGGTTCCTCTCAGCCCGGACGTAATGCCATTGGTTGTCATTCAGAAGAGAAGGAGAGTGAACTATGAGCTCTACAGGGCCATTCCCAACATCAATGGCAAAAGTGATCTCAGATGGAGCTGAAACCAACAAGGGAAATGGATAGGAAGATGAGGGGAGGTGTCAGTCAGTGCACTGAGATCACAGGCGCACCCTGAAGAATGGTATAAATAACTGTGAGTCAATACAAGGTGAGGAGGTCTTCATTTGAAATCTCTGCAATATTAAAATTACCAATTAGTTGTGAAAATTACAAGATACTAAGTCCCAAACTCTTTTTTTGGTCCAGTTGATACTCATTGTGAGAATTCAGGAAACTGGATAGGGGCCAGGGCCATAGACGACAATCTGATAAACATGCATCAGTGCAAGGCTCTGGGGTTTCTGGGTCTATTTTGGCTTCAAGTGTGTCCTCGTGGATATCTGTAGATACTAGATTAGCGAGGCTGCTACATTCCTGCATGGAGAGGATTCATGCCCTTGAAAGTCCAATCTTCTCCTCTATGTTATTTCATTAATTCATGTGATTATAATCATTCATGCTATTCTTATGACTTTTTTTTCTCTATTTCAAGGAGACTCAGAGAGTTTAAGTGCTTGTCTCAAGGACATATCACTGCAAGTAGTGGTGCCTGGGATCAAACATAAGCCCCCCTTCCCCCTTCTATGACTCTTTCTACCTTTCTATAAAAATCTGCATATCACACATTCCAGGAGTCAGCCAGTCAGTAGTAATAATACCAATGATGATGATGATGACAGTGGTAGTGGTGTGGGCAGTGGTGGTGTTGGTGATGATGATGGTGGTGATGGTGATGATGATGGTGGTGGTGGTGATGATGATGGTGGTGATGGT